TTCCCAGTAGCCGGAATTACAGGCATGCGCTACACGCCTGGCTGATTTTTTTTATTTATTGTAGAGATGAGGTCTTGCTACCCAGGCGGGTCTCGAACCCGCGGGCTCAGGCAATTCACTCACCTCAGCCTCCCAAAGGCGCGGTATTACAGGCTGAGCCACTGAGCCCGGCTGGAACTTTGAGTTTTTAATTCTATCCATGGCTAACCTGTCTACCAAATTTTTGCCTTTCTCATTCCCTGATTCTACTTTGTGCCTATTTTAAGCTCTTGGGGTTAGCTGGTTTCTCCCATTCTTTATGTCTGCCCAACAAAGCCTGTCCTTTCCCTACCAATCCCTATTTTTCTTCCTGTATTCTCAGCAATTATTCTTCCCTTGTCAAAGAAATATTTCACCTTTTTCTAGAACACTGAACTTACTCCTTACCTTAACTGAAAACGACTTTCTTTTCTCTTTGCTTCTTTTGCAGCCCTCACAAGTGTTCTACTTTCATTTAGCAACTTTCTTTTCTTGAAAATCACTTCCAGATATACTGGTTTTCTGGATCACAAGAAGGAATCATGGTGTAGCATGTTATTCAAGTTCCTCCATAGATTGGATACAACCTGCAATTTCAGGCCCATCTTTTACCAGTCTTTACCATACATCCTACAGCCTTCTAGAGGCATTGGATTACCTGCCCTCTAAGCAGCAAATACAGCAGGTACCCTTGTACTCTGTGCCTTTGCTTCTGCTGTCCTCTCTTATTAGTATACTCTCCCTTTACTTCTTACTTGTAGAGAAAAAGCCTATGCAAAGTTCCTCCTTCCCTCTCTTAGTACTATATTGAAAGCTATTTAAATAAAGGAATCATGTTTACTTGCTTTTGTATACCAAGCTTAGACCAATGCTTAGCACATAGAGGAAGTATCTAATAAATGTGTGTTCAAATGCATACCTGTTTCGCCTGGAGGTAAATGAAACTCTAAACTCTGAAACAGAAACTTCTTATCTGAGGCTCTCAGCTTATGAAAAACTTTAGCCAATTTCCTGTCATGTTAAAAGGCTGACTGGACTGGAAAAGTGGAATGGCAGCAATACCGTTTATCCCTTTTCCTCTTGTAACATTATCTTTACACAGACATTTAATGAGTTTGTTCATTCAGCAGATATTTACTATATCCTAACCAGCTGCTCCAGTAGTAATGCAGAGGAGCTGCCATGGGGACAGTGGACAATAAGTATCCAATTTTCCCTACAACTACATCACTACACAAGTTTACTGAAAGGACAAGGGAATCTGGACCTTAGAGGGAAAATAAACACTAATATTTATCACTAGTTACTAATATTGAAGCACAGTGAGAGAAAAATGGCAGAACAAATCAAGTTCTGGGAACTACAAGTAGTTCGGAATGCTATAACATAAAGTATCGCAAGAATGAAGGAAAATGAAGCCAGAGATATTCAGAGACAATATCAAGAAAATCCTTGGGTGCCATGCAAGAAGTTTGCATTTAATGTAGGCAACAGAGAACCCCTGTAGGATTTTAACTGGGAGAAGAGGAGACAAGATTTGCAGTTTGGAGTTTGTGCGAGAGGGGAGTGAAGTGAGAAGCAGGCCAGTAAGAGCCTGTGGTAAAAGTCCCAGTAAGACATCATGAAGCCTTAAACCAAAGTAAGGACAAGCTAAAGGAATAGGAGGAGACAGACTTAAATGAAATTTCACAGGGGAAAGGATTTGGTGAAAAATACATGTTGGAGATTAGAGAGAGAAAATAAAACTGCTCAGGTGCTGTGGCCAGTCATTTATTTGAGAATCCAAGAGAGGGAACAAGGTATGAAGGAGGAAGATAAGAAATATGGTAAAAAAAAATATTATGTGTGAAACAAGAAAAATGTTGCAAGAATAGAATTTATGAATTAAGAGAGAACTGTACCATAGGTATTGCATACATCTTTATCTATGCATCTATAGATAGATAGATAGATAGGAGTGTTTTGGTTGTTTCCCCCTCCCCCTTTCTTTCTTTTATGAATTGGTTGCCTCTCACAGCCAAAAATTGACCTTCTCCTCCATAATGTTTCTAGCTACTAGAAGTAAAACTTATGGTGGTACTGTAAGAAGTAGTTTGGAAATCAACTCTCAAAATGTTTTTCTTGAGTATCCTAAGAGACTTAGGATTACTGTAAAATGAAGCATTTCAGTGTTTCCTCATTGATTTATGAAGATAGTAAAAAGTTCCATGAGAGAAGTCTTACATTAGGTAAAATATATTTAATAGTTCAGAATTTTATAGAGTAACACCTTAGGATTGAATGAAGTCAAAATTTTCTACATGGCACAGTGCCTAGTTATTTGGGCATAAATAATTATTTAAGCTTAGAGTTGTTTATACTGGCTTAAATACTATTTACCTTTGTCTAGCCCTGTTCTTGGTGTAAAATTCCTATAACTGGAACTCTTTGTACATTAGTGCTTAAATATTGGGTACCCAATAATAGCTTGGTATCATCCCCAACTATTACCAAATTAAAAAGTTTAGAAGGTGAGACTTATCTTCTATAGGACTCGATGCATAAAATGTGATTGAGTTTATTTTTACTTCCTTTCTCTGTGGTATAAAGCCTCTTTGTTATCAAGAACACAGGTGCAGGTGTGTTTCCTCACTCTCCTGCCTTTTTACTTGGTACCTCGCTTCCCATATATTTTTAAGGCCATTTATCATTTTCTCATGTCCATACTTCATTTCCCAACTGAAAGACTATATTGGGGAGGAGGCAGCTATTGGTTGGAAAACATAGGAGAAGTATCTTCCAAAGACAAAGTAAAGTCAAGAAAGCTACAGATGTTAATATCATTATATTATGGCAGTGGTAGGGTAAGGGGATCACGTGAATTGCAACCTCCTTGAGTAAAGAAAACTATTCTGTATTTCTCTGAATTCATTGTAACATATTGTTAATAGGATTATTGTTCCTACTGAGACTATTTTACGCTTAAAGTTTTAATTTTTCCTTTTAGGGCTAAAGACATTGCCCTCACAAAGTGAAATGATGGCAGATATATCTAAGGCTCAAGAGAAAATGGAAAATAGGTAAGAAATTCTCCTAGGAAGATATATGGTTATTTTTTCTACTTATTTCTTAATAAGGTCAGTATTATATTTAGTTTCCTCATGTTAGTTTAAGGATTTAGATTATATTTTGAAGATAAAACAGATTATATTTTGAAGATAAAACAGTAACAGTTTTTAACAGAATGAAGAAATGGTAGTTTGAATGTGAATGGGAAAGGAGAAAAACTTAAGAAAAATGCTTTAAATCCTATATTTAGGGCCTATAAAAAAAGTTGAGTAGGAAAAAGAGAGAAAATTAGGTATATTATTTTTGTGAGGATTACTTGAAGAGCTAGTAGAGCTGCCAGAAGAAGGGTGCCAAGAAATTAGTGAGAGATGGATATGATTGAATTACAGATCTGTGATTTACAAATCTGCAGTGGCCATTTTGCTGGCTGCACCATGTGATAGCACTCGTAGGTCACAATGACTCATGGTATGAATAGTTCACATGATTTGGGAAGGTGGTAACAACCAGATGCTTAGTGCTTTGGTGAACACAGTAATTTAGCAGTCTAAGTTTCAGAATTTGAGCTCAGTCACTGGATGGTTTTTATTTGGACAAGTGGAAGTTGATAGTAAGTTCCCTGTTCCCTAAATGCCTGTGGAAGAGCCAGAGGCACAGTTGTTCCAGGTCTAAAGAGGTGGTTTTCTTCAATTGATTATACTAGTATAACTGTCCCCACCTTGGAGGAAAAGAAAGTCAGTTTTTTGTTAAGCCTGTTACCCTTTGCAGGTGCTCTCCTGTTTCCCTCCTTTCCACTGCCCAACTTCTGCAGTAATGTTTCTAAATTCTCACCCTTTGCCTTCTAAGGCTCCTGATTGTAACTTCCATTCTTACTCCTGAAACTGCTCTCTTGAAGGTCACTCATGATGAGCTTCATTTTCTTTTCTCTCACTATGGAGTTTGGTGCTTTCAAGCATTTCTCCCTTCTTGGAGTGCTTTCTCTTCCCTTCTTTTCTGGCACTAAACTATCTTATTTCAACTTTCCTCTTATTTTTGTCTAATGACCTTCTGACTATGAGCAGTCATATACCCCAAGGATATAATTTAACCTTTATTGAGGGCCGACTGTGTGAACACATTAAATGTTTTATATGCATGAGTTTATTTAATCCTCATAATAACCCTCCAGGGCAGGAACTAGTGAACATCTTTTGTGAAACCTACATGAATACTATAGGATAAATAAATGCATTCCTATAAACCCTCACACCAACATATATCTATAAGGGAAAGCTCTCAAATTCTTTCCCGTCTTATCTTTGTCTCTTCTAAATTTAGTCCCATTTCAGTAAATTCCTACTTGACTCTCTATTAGCTCCTCTGAAATTCTATCTTGTGCACTGGCTCACACCTGTAATACCAGTACTTTGGGGGGCCAAGGCAAGAGGATTGCTTCAGCTCAGTAGTTTGAGACCAGCCAGGGCAACATAGCGGGGCTTGTCTCTACAAAAAATCAAAATATTAGCAAGGCATGGTGGTGTATGCGTGTAATCCCAGCTTCTTGGGAGGCTGAGGCATAAGGATCACCTGAGTCCAGAAGGTTGAGGCTATAGTGAGTCATGATTATGCCACTGTACTCCAGCCTGGGCAACAGAGTGAGACCCTGACTCAAAAAAAGTTATTTTTTAATCACTTCTCCTGACCTCATTTTCAGTCTCAATTAACTTGACTTGTCTTTTCTCTTCCTTTCTGCCCTACTGCTCTGTTTTATTTTCATTACACATAGTAAAAAGCAAAAGTCACCTGTTAGCTCACCAAATTCTACTCCTTCCACAAAGATATCACCAATAATTACATCCCCCCCAAGTCCTTTTAGCTTTTTTTTTTTTTTTTTTTGAGTTGGAGTCTCACTCTGTCACCCAGACTGGAGTGCAGTGGCCGCTCTGGGCCACCGCAGCCTTGACCTGCCGGGCTCCCGCAATCCTTCCGCCTCAGCCTTCCAAGTAGACGGAATTACAGGCATGCGCTACCATGCCCGGCTGATTTTTTGATTTATTGTAGAGATGAGGTCTCACTGCCCAGGCGGGTCTCGAACCCACGGGCTCAGGCAATCCACTCACCTCAGCCTCCCAAAGGCGCGGGATTACAGGCTGAGCCACCGAGCCCGGCTCCTTTTAGCTTTTTAAATATGCTTTTGGTATAACCATTCCATCTGACTCCATTTGGAGGACCATTTGTTCTTATGGGATAAGTCATCTCCCTTGTCCTTTCAGAATTCCAAATTAACATTGGCCCTGGGAAGTCCTACCCTGTGGACCCTACCACCACTGTCCTCATAAAATAATTGAGAATCTCATATTTGAGAATTTTTATGGTGGGTTCTCTCTTTCTCATAACATCAGAGTCCTTTGTACCTAGATCTGCTATACCTAACCCTCATCTTATCTACATCTTCCACATCCTTCCAGAACCGAGCTGTGATAGTTCTCTTTCAACTACCCCATCTGTGCATTTATATTTAGTAGTCTAAAACCACATGATTTATCAAAATCTTATATTCATCTCTGCTTCAGGTATATGTCTTATTTCCTCTAGTAAAGATGCTTAAGAACAGTGACAAACGTCTTACGTTTCTATTTTCCACGGCTCCTAACTCAATATTGAGTCAATAGCAGACACTCAGAAAGCTTTGATTGACTGACTGACTTAATGAATTATTGATGAGCCATGACTTCTGTCTTTTCCACTTCAGGTATGTGGAGAGCCAACGCCATACCATTCAAGGAGACTACGTAGGTACCATGGAAGAGCTTGCTGAGTTGTTGGGAGTCAGGCCCAATCTGCTGTCTCTGGCCTTTACTGACCCCAAGTTAGCATTACAGATACTACTGGGACCCTGTACTCCAATCCAGTATCGTCTACAGGGCCCTGGAAAGTGGCATGGGGCTCGAAAAGCTATCCTCACCACAGATGATCGTATCAGGAAGCCTATGATGACAAGAGTAGTTGAAAGGAGTAATTACACAACTTCAACAGTGACAATAGGAAAGTTTATGCTAGCTGTTGTTTTCTTTGCTGTAATTATGGCTTATTTTTAGCTGTCCCATTGTCATTGCCCCATTTTTCATTGGGAAACTTGATCTAGAGATGTTTTCAGAGCATGACAATATTGAATGACTCCCAGCTTCGTATTGCCCAGAAATCTACTTTCGTGTCGCTTTCAAAAGCATTAATTCCTTCCTCTTTTTCCTATAGTAAAATCTCACTTTTTCATTTGTGCTGATTCCTCTCCATTTATCTCACGATCCATCCTTTTTTTCTTCCAGTAATCCCCAGATTAGTCATCTTTGTATGCCCTTAGCAGAGTTCTTGACATGTGGTAGGTGCTTAATAAATGTTTGTTATTATCAGATTTTATGGTGTGGAGTATAAGTCAGCATCTGTATTAGAAATGGCTTGTTTCATGTAACTCTTCTTCTGATGGGATTTGATTATCTATTAGAAGCTCAATTTTTGTTTTTTATATTAAAACTAAATATTTGTTTCCCAAGAGATAAGAGAAATAATGATCTTCTAATAGCTGTGTGTATCTAAGATAAGACATATAAATACTTAAGACATTTTATTTCCACTTGCTGTTCACTAGTGTACCTGATATCTGGTCATTTTAACCTATTTTCCCTAAGAAATATGTCTTTATTTTCTCAATAAAGAAACTACCTTCAACTTTCCAGGCTTATAGGTCATTCAAATAATCTAGCATCTGCCAATAAGTTTAACTCAGTTGAGAAATTTGGAATTTGCAAATTAGCTGTCCTATTTTTTTTAATCTCTTGGTTCCAATATTAGGATCTGACAGGGCTTTATCTTAGGAAATATGGACAGTAGCTGCCAACTATTGTAGTGTGGTCTACAAATGTGATTTTATTTGTCTCCCCCTACTCTAATTTTTTCTCTTCCTTCACCTCTCTTACATAGAGTCTAAGTAATAAGTAATTAAAGAGGCTATTTATGTATTAAATTTGAATTGGTATTAAAAAAAAGTAGGGACATTCTGCTGATACCATATAGTTCTGAAGAAAGCAGGGTCATTGACATATAACCCAGTACTGCTGATGGTTCTGTTTTCTTGTCTGTAGTTTTGCTCTGTTCTATTTCATGGAGAAATTAACTAAGGATCAGTTGTCAGGCACACTGAACTCGATGAAGAAAGGTACCAATCAGGTGTATGTTCATAAAAAAGCTGTTGTACAATATGTTCCTATTTAAATTGCTGCCTATAATTTAACAACAGGATAAAGTTGAACTGAAGAGAATATCAAGTATTATCATCTTTCATAATACAGACACATGTAAGAGAACCAGAAATGTGAATACAACTTCTGCCTAATCTTTTAACTACTAGGACAACTGCCTGCCATTTCACCTAATTTACCTGTGAAATGCCTTTGGAAAATCAGAAAACTGGGAATTGGTATTACTTCTTAGGTCTTTTTCCTTCTCTAATCTTTGTGATATTGATGCTTTTTCATTAAAATGGACCTAGTATTTTTTTAACCTGCAGATTACTCTAGTTCAGAATTAAACTGAAGGTCTTTCTTTTTAATTTTCTTTTTTTCAACACACAAATTTGTCTTTTAGCATGTAAATTTGTTTTATTAACAGTCCTTTGGTAATATTCCCTTATCAGCAGTAAGTACCACAGTTTGTTCTCCTTCTTCTGTGTTGGGTGTCTCACCCTGTGTGGCCCAGGCTAGAGTGCATGATCATGGCTCACCGCAACCTCAATTTCAGGTGATCCTTCCACCTCAGCCTCGCAAGTAGCTGGGACTGCAGGCACATGCCATCACACCTAGCTGATTTTTTTTATTTTTGGTAGAGACGAGGTATCACTATGTTCCACAAGCTGGTCTTGAACTCCTGAGCTCAAGTAATCCTTCCACCTTGGCTCCCCCAAAGTGCTGAGATTACAGGCATGAGCCATCACTCCCAGCCCCAGTTTCCTCTTTAAGTGAGAAATATGTAATTCTAAATCGATTGACTTTCTTATTCTACTTATAATATGTAAGGTTACAAAAAAATCATTGGTTAATTTCTGTTCCAAGCTAAAAGATATGAATAGGAAACTGAACTCAAAATAATTTAAGATACAAAGCCCTCATTACTGATGAATGTCTACTAATAACTTACCATAGCTTGCTCTTGTAATTATATTAAAAGGTTATATCATTTTCCTAATTATATTAAATCTGATTACAGAAAAATATATTATTATAATCCCAGAGTATAAGGAATTGCTCAAAAAGCAAACTAAATGGCATATGTCAAGGGACACAGGAGCCATCTCAAAGTGGCTAAAGGTGGAATAATTTGAGCAATAAAGTAACCTAACATTGGATTATTAACATAAAATATTAAAAAATGAGTTCATGCTGATATAGATGATTGAATAAAATAATAAAATGAAATAGACACATCTCCCAAACAGAAGAATTCCAAAGAAGGTATGTATTCTGTCCTCAAGAAGTTGGAACAGAACTCCCCACTTCTTAAGTGTGAGCTGTCCAGTGACTTCCTTCCAAATAGTACAGTATGGAAAGAGGGAAAAAATAACTTTGCAATTAAGAAACGAAATAAACACGATCGCAGCTAGATGATTGTGTGACCAGTCATGTTGACAGTATGTACCCTTGATGTGATATGAGATGGTCACTTTACCTCTGTGGAATTCCTCCCCCAAAACTTAAATTCAGTCTAATCATGAAAAAAAAATTAAACAAACCTAAGTTGAAGAATATCCCACAGAATTCCCAACCACCTCGAAGTTTTTAAGACAAAGAAAGCCTGAGAAACTGTCATGGTACAGAAGAGCCTAAGGAGATATCTAAATGTAGTTGGTATCCTGAATGGGATCCTGGAACAGATAAAGGACTTTAAGTAGAAATTAAGGGAATATTAATGAAGTATGCATTTTGGTTTATAATAACATATCAATATTGGTTTATTAGTTGTGACAAATGTACTACACTAATGTAACAGGTTAACAATAAGGGATATTGGGTGTGGGGATATATGGGAACTCTGCACTATCTTTTCTTTTTTTCTTTTTTTTTTTATTTTAAATAAGTAGGGTACAATTCAGGGTTAGGTATACAAATGTTTATTATGCAGATACCCTTGTTGTTGAGGTGTGCCCCTGCCCTCCCCTGGCAGTTTTCTACTACTACCAATCCCTTAATAGTTGTTCAAGTTCCACTTATGAGTGAGAAAATGATACTCAGTTTTTTGTTTCTGTGATAGATCACTCAGTAGTATAGACTCCAAGTCCATCCAAGTTGCTGTGAAGTTCATAATTTTGTCCTTTACGGCTGTGTAATATTCCATCATGTATATGAACCACATTTTTTTATCCAGTCCTCTTTTGATGGGTAGCACGGTTGGTTCTGTGTTTTTGCTATTATGAATAATGCTGCAATGAATATGCATGTGCAGGTATCTTTTTCATAGAGTGATTTGAGTTCCTCCGGGTATATTCCCAGTAGGGGATTGCGGGGTCATATGGGAGGCCTATTTTTAGATCTTTTAGGAAGCCACACACAAAAAAGCAGCTTTTCTTAAATCTAAAATTATTATGTAATTAAAACGTTTTTTTAAAAAAAGTATTAAAAGAGTATTTTTGGCTCAAGATTTGACCCAGAGCGACCATCTGGTGGTTTTCTCAAAGGAGAAATATTGACTAGTATCAGCCATTTAAGTTACTATGCTTTTCCATGATTACTCTACAAATTAGTTTGATCTAATAAAGCATAATATAACTTAACACAAACAATATTGCTTTCTTTGCTGAATAAGTATAGACTACAATTGTAGAGGAGGTGATATGGTGATACGAGGTCAAAAGACACAACTTTTTTTTTAGAGTCTCACTCTGTCACCCGGGCTGGAGTGCAGTGGCACTCTCACGGCCACTCCAGTGTCAACCTGCTAGGCTCTGGTGATCCTTTCACCTCAGCCTTCCAGAATTATAGGTGCACGCTACCACACCTGGCTAATTTTTTTTTAATTGTAGAGACAAGGTCTTTTCAAGTTGTCCAGGCTGGTTTCGAACCTGTGGACTTAGACAATCCACTCAACTCAGCCTTCCAAAGTGCTGGGATTACAGGCTGAGCCACCGAGTCTGGCCAACACAATTCCTTAAGATAATTTAGATAAGTTCTTTCTTTCAGCTAAGCACATTAAGCCAGTAGTTCCTACTAGCACAATTTATGGTATGTTAATGACAAGTACATTAATAAATAAGAAATTTTATGCGGGGGGCCAGCCCCTGCAGAGAGATTTAGGGGGTCCCTGGGAGGTGTGGTGGCGTCGGCAATTATTCTGGAGAAATAAAGAGAAAGAAAGAGACGGGGTGGGGGAGAAAGAAAGAAAATGGACATCTGTTCAACGGATTGAGCAAAAGCCGTTTAATGGGACAAACCATAAGTCTTTTATCCCAAATTTTCACAGGCTAAATCACAAGACTTTCACATGAACACAAAGCCAGGTGAATGAGGGGTGTCCCCCACCCACCAGGCATTTTTCCCAAGCATGAGGAAGGACAACCCCAAAATTATCTCACTGTTCCTTATGTTTGGTTAATGTTCCTCAACAGCAATACAACAATTCCAACATCATAATATTCTAATAATCAATAACTTCTAAAGCTTATGCATACACAACACCTAATGACTAACTTAAATCCTAATACCTTTCTATTCTGTGCTAATTCTACCTATACTATAGAAACTCTTAATTATAGTTCAAACCAGTTCCTAAAGAATGTGGCCCAGTCCAAAGATCACGCTGGGCCGTTTCTAGGAACAATTGATTACAATCTCTTAACAAAATGGCTATTCTAAAATCCTATATATCTGTTTTAATTTCTATAAAACTTTCTAATTCCTAATCCTAATATATAAAGCTGATCATCAGCAATAAAGCTTCTAAAAATGAAACCCAAATATAAACTACAAACTGTAAATTGTACTAAGGCCAAAACCACAATAGTAGAAAATGGGAACAATGAAATTTCAAAAGTTAGCTGATTAAACCTCAAAATATCATGTTTGATCATGCTTGAACTAACATAATTCACTGACGTAGCATAACCTATTCTACAATACTTTCTATGAATAAAATAAATTAAATTTCTATAATAAGTAGAAAACCCTACACTAACTGTAGCTAGTTAAAAGAAATACGCCCAGTCCAAAGTACACGCTGGGCCCTTAGGAATGTGGCCCAGCCCAAAGTTTGTGCTGGGCCATTTCTGGTAACTCTAGATAATCATCTATACCATCTAAAGCTGAAAACAGCTCTCCATAAGTATATACTAATTCTACAAATATACTTTTAAATCTTATAAAGAAGCTTGCACCGAATAGAAGGCTCCCAAATGTGACCTGAATTTGAATTATATCTAATACCTAAGCCGAAACTGCAGTTCATGGGAAACAGGAACAATGAGTTTCTAGAGTCAGCCATGTCTGTCACAGTCACAGAGCCTTCAGCTTAGGTCAGCAGAGTTCCTTTTGGCTAAATAGAAAAAGGGAGGAGAGAATGGGGTCAACAGCTCCTGAATGCATCCTAGTGGTCTCGGGGTCCACAGTCCACCTTGATCCCTAATGTTCAGGTGGGCCTCCGTGGCCGACTCTCAACAATTTTTTTTTTTGAGTTGGAGTCTCACT